TGTAGGGAATGTGTTTGGAAGGATGGCAGACTGCAATGAAAAACGTCTAGTAACTTATATGGGAAAAACATTGCCTTAGCTTGCTTTATGCTATAGAAAATATTAAAATGTCATCCTCTTTGAACTTCCTAAAGTATCCAAGTGAAGCTCAGTATGATTCTGGTGAACTTATTAGCGCTAAATTTAACAATACATAAATATTTAAAGATGAGTCTAGTGGCATGCCTAAGTTACTGATTATTTTTGTTTTAATTGGCTTATTATGCATGAGGTACACCAACTTCAAGAATAAGCCTTTTACTGGTTGCAAACCGTAAATACACAAAACAATCATATGTAAACATTTTTCATCTGTATTATGTGTTTGATGTTAATGAACACTTAAGAATTGCATGCCTTTATTTAATTGCATATAGGATTAATACTGAACGATCTGAAGGGGAACTGCTACGTTATTTTCTGTTCCTCTCTTCGGCAGGTAAGTGTGGGAGCTGCGTTAGCTTGGCTCTCGGAAACAGTTACCCCGTGTTGCTGCTGTCCCTCCTCAGCCGGGTCTGCAAAAGGGCCGTAGCTGTGGGAGAGAGCCTGAAGCGATCAACACAATTGCTGACTTTCAAAGTTGCCATCTAGAATTCTGCATCGCTATTGCTTTCTAAAGGAGCCTGATCTTGAAACGGGAAGTTTCAATTTATCAATTCTGCTTTGAAATGTTTGTTGCAGAAACTCTCCCATGATGAGTATTTATACTATTCATGCCCCAGGTGTACCGAATTCCTGATACAACAAATAGTTGTTCTCTGTGTTTGTGAGAGATTTGGTGAGGAAAAATTAGCTGAAAAGACCATAATGAAATGGCCATCTCCCTATTTGACGAGGATGGTGAATTAGTTATTAGTTATTTACTTTAGAAGTCCCGGAGGTGGCAGCGAATCTATCGTGTGTTAGGGATTATACAAACACAGAGGCCTCAGTCACATTGAGCTTGACATCTAAAGTCTCAGTTTTGCAAATATACATGTGTTTGCTTAGCTTAACTATTACGAGTAACGCCATAGTAATTGGTACCTGATATTAAACAAAGTCTGGTGGTAGGCAGATCACACAGAAAAGGTACAGAGCAGATGAAAAAGCAAGCAATAAAAAGCCTCCAGTTAATGTTAGCTATATGTGAAACCTATATTGCACAGTCATTTTTTTGTTAAAACATAAATTGTCTTGATTTGAAATTCTTTTCATGTTTTGCCCCAAAATTGATCAGGCTAATACAAAAAGTCAGAATATTTGCTCTTTATTGCTGTTTTGCTCTTTATTGCTGTTTTTCTCTTTATTGCTGTTTTACAAAAACTAACTAAATAATAAATCAAATGAGAAAGCTTATGAAGGTCAGGCATGAAACATGTAAGCAGTTATCACTAAAATTTGAGCTTACCTGAATAAAAAAAGTAGAACTGCAATTAAGAGGTAAAAATATATATCAGATGCAAACAATGCAACCCATGGCATGGTCTCATCCTCTCTGACTGATATTAACAAATCTCCTTTGTATTTATGGATTAAATGCATCTTAATTAATTTTCCTATGCTGAATATTTTATTAAGCATAAGCTCTAATTCGATATCCAGTTCAAAACTGCTGAGAGCAATAAAAATTTCAGTGGTGATATTTAATGTCAAAACTGATACTCATCTGGAAGACAGTGCATTGCGAATGACTGGTGTCATTCTGGTTAGTTAAGATACGTTCCATAAATATTGATATAATGCTCATGATGTTTCCATATACTTCCAGTCTTGATTATTTAATTCTTTTGTAACTCGTTGAGCAAACCCAACTGGTGTGTTTCTTCAGGATTTGACAGTCATTTAAACTTGTGCTTTCAGCAGTTAATCTTCCTCTTTAGATGTCTACGTCTCCCACCCCTTGATGATCAGAAATGGTAATTTCTGATTTGGGGAGCATTACTATGGGCTTATAAAATCAGCGAAATTTAACAGATGCCCCAGCTGTGGCAGAAGCTTAATTTGGTGCGTACACGTTCTAAGGCAGCAATGTGAATTAACAGGGGGTGCAAGCCCCTGGGAAAACAGTATTTAGGGAAGTTGTAGTTCATGGAAAGACTGGTGGTCTGCTGCAGGGATTTACTGAACACAGCAAAGATGCTTTCATCTTTCTTGGACTTTGAATGAGAGGGAGAGAGCTGAGAGGGGAGATGACGCTATTGCTTTTGAGCTATTTTTTGCTATCTCGGATCTCGCTCATCTGGATGGAAGTAAGCAAATACGAAACACAGGGCAGCCCTGTGCCCTTGCGGAGAAGTAGCTGCAGGCGAGGCAGTGTACTCTGGGGCATCTAGAAGTGTACTCGACACAGTTCCACCCAAGGCCTGGCCCTAAACGCGTATCAAGAAGTACCAGGCTGCTTACGCTGATAATGCCTCTGGAGCTGCCAGTTGCAAAACTACAGAAAAATTCGGAAGCGTGTGTGGATGAAGTATGCTCAGCTGTCTTCCTCTTCACCGTGGCCAGCAGTGGCCCGTGTTCTCTGCTCACTGAGCCTCCTCCACACTTGCAGTTGTTATTTCCTGTGTTTAGAACAGCCCAAGCACATTGACAACAGTAAACACATTTCAAAATTTTACTAGAATTAAAGACTTTAGAGTTACGATGCTGAAAGCATCGGTAGCTTGGCAAATTTAATTTCCTCGTGAAATTGCTAAGACTTAAAAATTATGCATACCTCTGTGTGTCACGTTACATGGAAGATTGTGCACTTTAGAGAAAGAAGGGAGTTTATTCCTTCTCGCTAGCATCATTTTGGCATATGCAGGTACATGGTGTGACTAAATCAGCTGTACCTCTGTGAAAATCAGGCAGACAACTTGTAATTATTTATTATACACAGGCAGCTTGGGCAGCATTGTCACACCTTTCATAACAGTATAGTAGAAGGCAAGCAAAACTGTACAGAACGTAAAGGCATTTCCGTGTACAAATAAAGAAATGGTAAGGTCCCTCTTGAAATATCAGGCTTTGTGTATTAACAGGTGTATGCTTGGGTTTTGTGAAAACCCCACTTGTTAAAACTCTGATCTTTAGCCGAGATTCTTTGAATATGAGCCTTGCTTTTATGTAAATTGGAGCCTGCTTCCTTTAAATCTACGAAGCTACTGTACCAAGCTGCTCTGAGAGCAGAATCAGGCCTTTTTAATTTATCTTGCACCACTATATGAAAGTTCTATTAACATAGTCCAAACCATTGGCTTATGTTAATTGATGGGAAGTGTCTTATATCAGTAATATTTTGGATTTTTTCATTATTTTCCAAAAGAGATGATGTACTAAAATTACAATTTCCCAGTGGAAAAAGGTACTTAACCTCTAATTAACAGACTTGTATAGGATTGCGATAAATAAAATGGTTTTAAAAAGCTGCTTTTGATATCTCTTATGTTTTTCTAATTAGAAATTAATTCTTGTTATTCTCTTGGTTAGAGATATCTGCATGAAGATTTGTTCTTTATCAACTATTGAAATTACTTTCTTTCCAAAATGTTATTTGGACATAATTGGAAAACATGATTATTTGAGTCAATTAGACCTTTCAATGCATAACTTAATTCTCACAAATTACAATATTTTCAGTTTCTTGGCAGTACTGAAGTGGAGCAGCCCAAAGGCACAGAAGTTGTAAGAGATGCTGTTAGAAAGTTAAAGGTAAGAAAGCATTTATAATGAAATATAAATGGAATGTATTGTTAACCTGCTTTCACAGATAAAGCACTTCGTATGTGTTTCTAGGCAAATTCACAGGTTCTAGTAGCAGTTGCTTTTACTGCACTCTTCACTGATGTGTAGACAGCTCCTTATTGTGTCCGTATTATCTGATGTTCTGTTGTCTCCTAGATTACGCAATTATGTATAGTAAAGTTTATGTACATTAATGTGTAATGTCTGTTTTTTTGGAAACTTTAGGGCTTCATTAATTCTAACTTAGGCAGCAACAATGCGTTTTAGCTGCCATCCTCACTTTATGACTATTGAATGCCTTTAATTATGGCACTCCAAACCTGTTGCCAGAGAATTAAAAAAAATTAACTCTTCCTTGACCAATTAACTAGTAAGTTCAGTAATGCCTGTCCCACGTTTCTCTGGGTCGTGCAGTGCTTCCTGTGAGCTCCAGTTAGGTGACTTGCCCCTTGTTGCAAAACATAGAGTATCCACCCACTTAAGGTAAGCTGTTGGTGCCAGAGAACAGAAGAATATCAAACCACACCATAAACGGGCTGTGATGGTTCCATGGCTACTGGCTGTCCTGACCGCTCCTCATCTAAAGCTAACGTCTCTGATCCATGTAACCTATTAGACTTGGAGGTGAAGGTTGACTGCCGTTCACACTGGCATGCATGTCGTTCACCCTTCAGCTGTGATAACTGGTGATATATCTGGAAATAGAGCTGTAGTGAGAGAATAGGGGTTACAAAACATAAATATAAAACAAGGGACATGATTGCCTCGTCCTCCAGGTTTCATGTTTTGTTGGAAAAGATCTGTGTGCACAAACAGCGTTTATGTGCTGGTGCACATAGGTGGCTGAGAAAATCAGACATTTACAATTTCTTCTTGGTTATATGTTCTTGAGTACTGAGGGGCTTGGTAGACAATTGGAAAGTATCCTAGTGCAGTGACTGAGGAGGGACAGGAAAATTAAGCGTGTTCATGATATGCTAATGTTCGCTGGTTATGGCCTTAATGTATTACCACTAGCTAGTTACCAACTTGTTGAGGGTTGCTAACTGATAACACGGCTTTGATTTGACTGTTTGAGTGACAGCTAATACACTTAAAGCTCTTCAAATGCTGTGAGTTGTGGCAGGGAATGCTCATTTGATTTACCTGCTAAGTCTCATGGCAGGGGAATTGCACGGTTTCGTGCTTAGCTGCTTAGAGCTGTTGGAGCAGTAGTTTATTTAGATGTAAAAATAGTTCTGCCTACTGTTGTACTTTCCACAACTTTTTGTAGGGTTTTCAGTATACATTTAAACAGAAATTCCTTTGAAAATTTTGGGAATCAGTATTGGAAAACTTGTTTCTGTGTTATTACTATAATAAAAAAAGCAAGCAAGAAAGCATTAAACACTATTCATGTAGCTCAGCTTTTAAGATTGAGGTTTCCCTTGAAAAAGCCATCTTTACAAGATTGATTAGTAATTGCGTTAAGGTATTGAAATGGAAGTTCTTTGCCATTATTTTCGCTCTGCCAAAATAGTACAGCTGCCTTTAAAGATTAGCTTAGTCAATTCTTAGAATGTTTTATGCCAAAAAAGATTTACTCTGCTGCAGTTCGTTAGAGACATTATTGCCTGGTTGTTTTCAAGTGTTTTAGGCTAATGGAAGTATGACCCTTTTTTAACCATTGCAGTGCGCTACCAGCAGAAACAAAATGTATGGTTTTGTCTGCTCCTCGTACAGTTTACAGATAATACTGGAGCGAAGCCTGTTGTGTTAGATGTGTTGTGATTATAAAATTCCATTACCCTGAGCAAAGTTAATTCTGTGCAGAAATTTTGTCAAGATAATAACCTGCTATGGAAAATTTTTTATTTAGTTTTAATGATATTTTATCAGACTCCTCCCAAGTAGAGCAGCTGCTAAGTGTCTCTGTCTCACTGGTGGAACTCCAGGCTAACCTGGGCTCTCAGTGATCACTGGAGGCTTTTAGTGGGTTGGATCGTATGATTGGTACCTTAAAATAGTTTGCTCTGAAAGCAGGTCCAAAAAGGATTTCAAATAACTGTTCTCTGACGTGTAGGAAGAGCCAGAACTATTTTCTTATCTTGGGAAAAAAATTTTGTCAGTCGAGCAGTAAAATTTAAAAGTAGAAGTTTTTGCATATTCTTGCGGTGTCATTGAAGTATGTAGGTATGTGTTCTAACCTTTTACATGTGTTCCCTAAATAAACCACCTTGGAGATACGTGTCTGAATTGTTGCTGCCACAATTACACTATTTTCTTCAAGCTTGCAAGTTTGGAGATTAGATGCCCAGTATTATATGGAATCATGTATAATCACAAAGTTTTTTTAGAAAACTCAAAGTAATTAAAGACAACTTTTGGAAAGACTTGAAAAATCTTGGCACAGAATTCAGAGAGCAATAAGGAGGTTTTGTGTTTGAAAGAATCCTCAATTAGCTGAATACTCATTTCAATATTGATTTATGTTTTGCATCTGAATTCTTTGAAGAGAAGCCTAGAGGTACTGGATTTTATTATTAACCACATATCTCTAGCTTGTTTTTAGAAAATGTTAATTAAAAATTTTAAACCAGTGAAAAGAGCTTGAAAGCTAATGTCTTACATTGAAGGAAAACGTACATAGTGTTTTTTGGATCAGGAGAGTTTTTAGAAGACGTGTAGCTTGTGATGCTATTATTTTTATTATTTTATTTTATAGATTTTGTTTTAATCACAATGTAGTTCGTCATAATTTGTTTTTAATGAAAGTTCATAGCTAGCAGAAAACCAGATGACTCTTTCTTAACATTTGGAGCTATTTTGACAACTGATGTGCATCACACTAATGACCTTTTGAAGTTATACGCTCAGTGATACACAGACCATGAAATACTGCCACTGTAAACTATTTTTCTTAAGCCATTATGTCATCAAACTATGTTAGAATAGACATTTGGTATATAACTCTTTACTTCTTTAAATCAAAAGTTCTTAACTCATACAGCACAAAGGTTATTCGCTTGCCAAACATAGGTTTGTGCGAAACTGTAGCACACCATTCCATGAACTTACTGTTCCCAGCAGGTGGAGCTGATGATCTACAATAACTTGGAGGAATTTTTTGTGATGCTTCATTGTACTTGTTTTATCCCAAATACTACTACTGCTACATTTTCTAAACACTTGATAATTTTTCTGGGTTGTTTGCATTTTGAATATGCAGTTGTTTCAAGCATCTATATTTAATTTTTCTAGAGGGTCGTCCAGTAGTTTTATCTAGTTGGGATTTCCCCTCATGTCTTCAAATTTCTTGGAGCTCTACTGCAGGAGACAGAAAAAAGCTGGACACTAGTGTTTTAAACCGGTGGAAAAGGACCTGGGGGTGCTGGTTGACAGCCGGCTGAACATGAGCCGGCAGTGTGCCCAGGTAGCCAAGAAGGCCAGCAGTGTCTTGGCCTGTATCAGCAATAGTGTGGCCAGCAGGAGTAGGGAAGTGATCGTGCCCCTGTACTCGGCACTGGTGAGGCCGCAGCTTGAATCAGTTCTGGGCCCCTCACTACAAGAAGGACGTTGAGGTGCTGGAGCGTGTCCAGAGAAGGGCAACGAAGCTGGTGAGGGGTCTGGAGCACAAGTCTTATGAGGAGCGGCTGAGGGAACTGGGGTTGTTTAGTCTGGAGAAGAGGAGGCTGAGAGGAGACCTTATCGCTCTCTACAACTACCTGAAAGGGGGTTGTGGCGACGAGGGTGTTGGCCTCTTCTCCCAAGTAACTAGTGAGAGGATGAGAGGAAATGGCCTCAAGTTGTGCCAGGGGAGGTTTAGATTGGATATTAGGAAAAATTCCTTCACTGAGAGAGTGGTCAGGTATTGGAACAGGCTGCCCAGGGAGGTGGTGGAGTCACCATCTCTGGAAGTGTTCAAAAAATGTGTGGATGTGGCGCTTCAGGACATGGTTTAGGGGACATGGTGGCACTGGATTAATGGTTGGACTTGATGATCTTGAAGGTCCTTTCCAACCTAGTGTTTCTGTGATTCTGTGAAAATGTGTATTTTTATTTATAATATCAGGTGGGCTCTTCTCATAATTTCTTAAAAACATTTTTTTTCCTTCCACTTTTCTAGTCAAACTAATTTCCAGAATGAAATAAAAACTAAGGAATATGGTACCAAGATGTTGTATCAGAACATGCCTTCACTATTCAAATCTGTAAATGTTGTCAAATCACACTTTATTTTATAAAGTGAAATGATTGCTTCCCTTTGTTAAGGAAGGATACAATTTCTAAATCAGACTGTAGGAATGAATTTGGCCCTTCTCAAAAAGTGGAGGTTTGCCTGAGGTGAGAACAGGTGGAAGGATCAGCATAACAGATGGAAAGCGCAGCATAACCAAACTACTAGTAAGAAAACAGCATGGAAGGGTGTTAGGGGGAAACCAGAAGCAAACACCTGAGCTTTGGGCTGTTCCTTTTAGTCCTCAAAGGGGTGTTTTTGTGAGGACCAAACTTAAGACTCTTAAGACCAAACTCTTACCCAACTTCCAACTCAGTCTCCTTTTTGCCTCCTCTTTTCTTCCGTCACCAGAGATAATGTAAATAGAATTAATCACTTTGGAGCCACTTGAAATATTCTTCATTATCTCCTTGACTTCTAAGAATACAGAAAGTGAAGAGTGCTCTTTCACACACCACCACACGTGCTGTCCTGCTGTTGCCATTAATGGACCGTCAGTGGATATTGTTCTTGGAGCCCTTTCCTGTTAAAACTGGGTTTCATTTGTTGTGGAAAGGACAGAGGAGGGTGGAGTACAGAAATCTTTTAATATTGGGATAAAGAGGTTTCCAGTGGAGCCTTACAGCAGTCACTATTCTTTTTGAAGTACTGGAGAAAGCAGAATATGTGGTTCGGGACCAGCCAGGGACAGCCTGAAGACCAGAGTAAATCACATGAGAAGAGTTGACAAAGAGAATACGTGGTCACTCTC